ATCTCAGAAACACTCTATGTATAATGCAAGTGATAAATTTTCTAATGAAGAAGATATAGACATAAACCGAAGATGTTTACCAAATGAAGATGAAGAAGAAAGAAAACAATTATCTACACCTGATGATGAGCAAAGTTCTGATTCTGGATTTAGAGATAAAGAATCCTGTGAAGAAGAAGAGAATGTTTATGCTTTAATTCCTTCCACCTCTACTAATGATTCTACAGTGAATATACCAATATATACTGAAGAAGAACAGTTACAAATCTTATTTGAACTTGATACTATTCTTGATGCAGAGTACTATGCAACACTTCCTGATTCTGGAAAAATGACAGAAAACTTAACTTCAATTAATTATACAGAAAATAAAATTCTTTGTACAAATGAAGATGAATCTGATTCTATTCATACTATAGATACTGTAGTTGAAATAGAGAATAATGAAAATTGTACCCCTAATATTAGTTTAGTAGAAACTGACATAAAATTAGTATCAGAAGATAAACAAGAAATACAGGCAGAAAATGTGATTGATATTAAGAAAAATATGGAATTAAAACATTTAAGTGATACCAATTTTTCTTCTCAAGAAACAGATTTGGAGCAACATAATATACAAACAGATATTAAGTATCTCAAAGAACAAGGTGAATTAAAACAATATTTGCAAAATAAGGGCGAAAATGAAATTGAGATTAAAAATAGAAATGAAATTGGAATTAGTAATGACAATGATAATGTAATTATTAATGCAAATGAACATGAGGAGAAAAATAAAATTGAAAATAAAAGCAAATACGAAAATGATATTAAAAATAGAGAAGAAAATGAAAATGTAAATTCAAATAAATTTGAAGATGAAAATGATAAGAAAAATAAAAATCAAATTGAAAGTAAAAATGATAAAGAAAATGAAAATAGAAATAAACTTGAAAATAATATTGAAAATAATGATGAAAGAGAAACTAGAAATAAAATTGAAAATGAAAAAGAAATAGAAAAGATATATGAAAGTGACAATGAAAAAGAAATAGGCAAAATAAATGAAAATGAAATTGAAGATGAAGATAGTTCTACAATGAGTTTACGTAGTGATAATTCTTATGTATCATTTGATATAGAAGAAGAGTTTGTAACAGCAATTCGAAATGAACTTAGAGAGAAATTACCTTGTGCTCAGATGTCTATTGTAGAACCATTAGAAGCTCACGATGATGATAATCCATCTATATCTAGTGATATAGATAGTAAACATTGGGACGATGATGATAGTGAAGAATCTTCTAATCAAGGTAGTGGAGGAGTGGGTATTTCAATAAGGTACTGTTTTATTTTCCAACAATATAATATAAAATTATTTAACCCTTTGCGGACGGGACGATTCGTAATCAACCGTACCGTGGGGCCCAGCTGCTGCCACGATAGTTATTTAAAATTACCAGCGCACATTTCTGCTTAGACACGCTTTTCGTTCATAGATGTCAAATTCTAGACATATGTACATGCACAGATTCTCCACAGGATAAATAGAATGACACACATATGAGTCTTTTGGTTCTATCATTTGTTTTCTCCGAATGCATATATGAGTTTCTCGCCCATAGCGACGCGTTTACGTGGGACACATATATGAGTCATTCGGCTTTATCAGTTGTTTTCGCCAAACGCGTATATGGGTTCCTCAGCCAAATTGATGGCTTACGCAGAACGCATATATGCGGCGGTAGTCCGCAAAGGGTTAATAATGATTATATTTAGTTATTATTTAAAACCAAACTTAAAAGTCTATTATTATATTTAGGTATAATGTATATGATTCACCACTTAGTCCAATCCAAGAAGAACGTGAAAGTACTCTTACCTCGGAGTCTTTAATATCAAATTCTAGGGATACATCAATCGCTTCAAAAGAATCTGTTACCTCGGATGATGTATTATTAGTTGATACTCGAACAAATAAAATGATTTTGTTAGAAGGACTAGGAGAAAAACTACAAGATGATGAACGAGATACAACCAATGGAGACTTATCTGAAGAAGAAAATCTGGATTATAATTGTTCGGTAGTTCGTTCTCGTGATGATAAGTCACACATTATGATGGCGAGTGGTGGAGCACCTTTACCAAGTCCAGAGGAGGAAACTAAATGGCAACAATTGCCTTCATCTTTCCCATTGCCATTACCTTTACCATTAGAAGATGATTTAATGTCAACAAGTTTTGGAACAGAGCATGGGTGGGTTAGTCAGGATGAAGATGATGAAGAAGAAGAGGAGGAAGATGACGAAGAAGAGGATGAAAATAATAGCTCCAGCTCTGGTGAATTTGTATGGAAAGTAGGTGCATTATAAATAAATAATCAAATATATATGAATTTATTTTTTATATATGTAATGATTTCATATTGTTTTACAGAGGTATAATGAACCGCATGTCGAGCAAGTGCAAATTCGAAGTTGTTTAAGTAATAATGAAAGAGAAATACTAGATGCTGATATCGAAGATGAAATGGATGCAGAAGAAGAAGGGGAGGATGAAGAGGAAGAAGGTGGAGAAGAAGGAGGAGAAGAAGAAGAAGAGGAAGAAGAAGAATTTACACCATCAGCTTGGAATGCAACATTAGCGCCTCATCGTTCTGCACTAAGATCTCCAGATAAAACATTAAAATCTAGTGTAAGTTTTATAACTTACTATACAGTTGTTTAAATATAATGTAAATATTTATATCTTTCTATATTTGCTTTTGCTGCTAGGATGAATTGGTAGGTATTCCTTATTTAGCAATATTTTCTTTATATGTATATTACGTATATTAGATTACATTTATATAATGTAATATAAATTTTATTAGATTTATAATGTATGGTCTATTCAGGATCAAAAAAAGAGTGTGTGGTTTAAGAAACAGCGCTATCACTGTGTATACGAATACCCGAAGGAAACACTGGCTACAGAAACTCAAGGAGAACCAACCACTACTTGGGAGCCAACTTCATATAGTGGTAAATTTTAAATATTTTAAAGTACAAATAAATTATATTAGAAATTGGAAATTCATATATAAGAAAATAATTGGAAAATTATCTATGACGTATATAATTTTTCTCTAATTTTAGATTGGGAGGAAATGATAGACGAACCACGATTAGATCTGTATCCCCTTGATTATGATGATACCAATCATACTGGTATGGTCTGGTATTATATGCATTATATATATATATTTTTTTATTTAGTTAATATAACATATGTGAAATATTTATGAATTTATATTTTACCTTATATCATCAAACTTATTTTGCTTATAGGACACGAAGAGTTTTTTGTGAGCAGTTCAAATCGTCCGTTTCAATTTCAAACTAGCGAGAGTAAATATGTTAGTCAATTCTTTCCTGGTGCATCTACGTCAGTGATTGAAGAACGAGACGAAATAGATGGTGATGAACAAGGAGTATCACAAAACGGAATAGACTTGTTAAATGATTGTAGTCAAAGTCAACAATATCAATTAGGAGAATTAAGGCATACTAGAGATCGTTTAAAATTAAATTTATCTACAACTGGCTCACCCTTTGTTTCTAATAAACAAACAAAAGAGGATAATGTAGAACAGTTGCATGATAAAGAAAACATGTCAGAATTCTTGCAAAGTATAGACTTTACACAGGACCAACATATTCTATCAAACTCCTTGAATTACAATACGTTACCAACGGTGCCTCCCAAAGACATTCAACAAAAAAAGAGTCTTGATCCGACTTCTTCAAAAAGTGCCCAATGTGATAGTCAAGAAAAAATTGAGCCTATTGACAAGTGTAGTGTTTTGACTCAGAACTAATGTGTTTCGAAGACGTTAGTAAAATGTTAAAAGAAATAATTTAGCTGAAGTCCGTCCGAACTAATTTCGTTGCAAAAGTATAGTGATTACTCAACGATTTCACTATTAAATGAATCTCGAATTATTGTACATAAGATGTAGCAAATTTTTATTGTGGCTGAGATTCAATCGATTGTCTATAGTATTATATTAAATTTTTGTTTGTTGTATAGAAACATTAACATAAATAGAGCTTAATACTGATATAATTTTTTATACAATTAGCTTCATGTGACGATAAAGAAACGTAAATATTAATTGAATCAAATAGCAGACAATCGATTTTTAAAAGCTACATCAAAACTAACGAATAATTTCATTTCATATCTGTAAATATTTATTAAAAGTTGTTCAGTACGTAATCGTTATGAAAAAAGTAAAATTTGTGTAAGTTAATGTTATTACTTTCATTGATGATATATGATAATTATTCATATTGATTTTTAATTATTGTTATCTTTAAATACGGTATCTTTCTTGGTATTATATTAAAATTATATTAGTAAAAAAGAGCTCTCTACTCTAAAAGTATTATAGTGTCAATCGAGGGACGGTACTATAATTAAGTCTCAACCTTTAGCTAAACGTGTACAGTAACTGATTCACAAATAATTCTTTTTAAATGTACGTTGTACTGTTATTTTTACTAGAACTGTGATGGGCACAATTTGTGCACTTTTATTTCAATTAATTTGATGAATCAAATTAGTAAAACTGCAGATGAAGTAGCACAGAAAATATGCTGCCGTACTTTCCTGCATACTATTTTCCATACTTTTAAATATTTTTGAGCACCTCTCATAGCTTTTTTAACCATTTTTAATATTTAGATAATTTTTTACAGAAGAATAATATTGCGTGAGACATAAGTGCACAAGAAAAAGATTGTTTATTATGAATATGGTATTAACTATTAAATTCACAATATGCAAATATTTATTTGAATATAAAAATGAAAACCAACAAAGATATGTTAGTAACTGTTAATTATTAATATTATACAATTTTTGGAAATATCTTTCAAAGTTTCCAATGTTGCTACAACAAAAGTAAATCATAATATAGCGGCAGAATAGATTAGATTAATAAAAAATATTAAAAAATACAAATAATACCAATATACTTGATATTTGCACCGATATATAATTTCATTAACATATGTGAAATCGAAAACGTACATGTTATAACTACTATTAATAGCACTGCGATTATTATGCAGTTTTACTACCATTACAATTACTATTACTATTATCACTATTGATAATGCTAACTCCATGCTCATTATAATACATAGGATATTAATAGAGAACGATTAATATATTGTTATACAAAGCAGACATTGATTTAAACAGAATATGTGTTTCATTGTTATTATTTCCTATACCGTTATAACATACACATTTACGTACGAAATATTTTAGTTTCGTATATTTTGATTAACTTCACTAATTTTAGTTTATTTCTACAGAAAATCATAAAAATTGTAATAATTGAAAAATAGTATTGGATAAAATACAGATGATATAATTAATTTGCTCAAGTTCCAAGACAGAACATTTAAAATTTTATCATAAATATTTTACTTATAGTAATTAGTTTTATAAAATGTTTGTATAATATTATTTTATGTTTGTACATTATTAAAAGTTTATATATGACGTTGACGATTACGCCATAAAATAATAAGTCCTTGATAATCCGCAGATGCAAGAAGAGATTCATCATAATTAAAAGATAAAGCAATTGTCGGTGTTGCATGACCTTCAAGTCGGTTGATTTTTGCTGCTTTGCCTTTTCTTGCTGAATCCAATAAATGTATTGTACCATCTTCAGAACCAGTGGCTATTAAACATGTTTCCATTTGTGGGCAAAAAGTAGACCTCACAAGGTATTGTCTGTTAACAAATTTATGAATTACATTTTATTGTTATAATTTTATACATTTTTCGTATTAAAGAAACGTTTATGCTTGTAATAATATTCAAACAACTTACTTGTGTTTTATTGGATATTTTGTCCACAGAGATAAAGAACCTTGATTGTCAATAATATGATACAATAATACTACATTACAAGCACTGCTCACTAAAAGTGCTGGCCATGGAGCATCTTTTGAAAGCCATGAACGCCAAGAAAGACTATTTATCATTCCACCAATTTCTTGTACTCTCTTTAATTTCGTTAATCGTCCTGATCCTGATTCCAATTGAAATGACATAATAACTCCTCTATCATTTCCAACCCATATTATGGAACCACCGCTACCCTCACAAGTTAATGACAGAATCTGAAATAGAATACTTCTCTTTTTATTTAATATTATTTTTTAAATAAATTTTTAAAAAGTGAGAACAAACAGTATTCTCATAGAACTCATTAAAAAAATAATAATAAAAAATTAAGAAAATGGCAGGTTATTATAAGAATTAAAATGAATTATAATTAATTTTAACATAAACATTTATCATTAAGAAAAATTAAAGAATACTAACTTTTCCACCAATTTTGCAAGATCCATTGCGAGTATATATACCAGTAGATATATTCAAAATTTGTACTAGTCCTTGAGAATTACCAGCAACAATCAAATTATTATTTACGGGTATAAATCCACAGCATAAAACTTCTGCTCGCTGTTGATCATTAACCACTCGTAAACAAGTTGGATTATTTTCTGGATTCAGGACATTCCAAAGTCTTATTGTACCATCTAGAGAAGATGAAACTATAAGGTCATTACTAATACTCCAGTCTAATGCAGTGACACCTTTTTTATGTCCTTCCAATAAAGCTATCACTTTTGGAGGAGTACTGATAGCATCACATATCGATAATAATCCATCTAATGATGCACAACATAACTTTGATCTATCATTATTTGCAAACTTAAGCATCATTACAGGTGCATTGTGTTGATCAAAAACATGATGCATTCCATCAAAGGCAAAACTTTCTGCAATTGATTTTCGTTGTATATTATAAAGTTTTGTTTTAATTTCAGATTTCTCTTCTTCAGTTGTATAACTACTAAAACTATTTTGTTCTAAGTTTTCGCCATATCGCAGAAATAACAGTTTTGCTCTTAGTTTTATATAATTTTCTCTGATATTTGGATCTTTACTAAACTTTTCTTTTAACAGTTGATTTCTACGACGAATATAAAGCATTCCTGTAATTATCTTATATTAATCATTTGTAAATCTTAGTATGTTACAATATATTGAATTATAAATATACATATACAAACCTAAAGTAGGTAATTTATTTACACGTTGTGCATTGTATTTAGCATCAAGAGCAAAAACTTGTTGATGCCACATAGTAACAATTCTATATATTTATACAAATCAAATAATATCAAGTACTGATTTGTTAAAATAAATATAGTATTGCATAAGATAAAACGCTACATAAACATGGACATTTAACCTATTAAATAATTTGTTTTGTAAAAAAATATATAATACAAATGTTTTAAAATGTTTTTATTTATTATTCTTTCGTGCATTTTTCTTTCTTTCTTGGCTTACTCATAGCTTGAAGCAAAACATACGTATTGTGCCAATTTTCTTGGGTCTATTGACGTTAATAAGTAACATTTTTTTAAAAATACTTCATTAACTCGTACGTTCTCACTAGCAGTATATTGAAAATTTATATAAACGCAATTAATAAGAATTTTAAGTATATTGTCCTTAAAAATGTTAGATTGAATCGCTATCATTCATTTTTGTTCTTCGTTACAAAATACGCACGGTAGACATATGTATGTACATTTATATATACACACATATGTTACATAAAGCACTCGTATATAAAAACATATATGTATGCATATATATTTAAATTACATGTTTATAATAAATCATTTGAATTTTATCTTTATTATATACATTCTTTTACAGTATTGTTTTTAGATATTAAACTATTAAAATTTATATATTTAAAATGTATTTATATGCAGCCACGTTAAGTTAATACGTAAATAATAAAATTAAGGATCAATAAGTGATAAATATTTATAAAATATCCAAGCTGATTTTTCAAATCTGGTTTTAATTAACAAATAATTGAAGACCTTAAATATCTATAAAAATTAATTACTTTATAGTGAATATCTTTTTTCTGCATTTTAAATAATTTCTCTTTATTTAGACAACTAAAGATTGTTTAAAAAATTATATAGTACTGGTTGAATTAAAATATTTTACACAATAATTATATATATATATATATGTATGAATGTTACAGGTTTTTTTTAATACATTTATTCTCAGATACCCATATTTATACACAGTAGTGGTGGCTATTTTTTTAATAATTATATAATAGCAATAATGACGCAATGAATTTTGCATCTTTCGATAGATCATTACTTAATAAAAATACAAAAATTATTAATGCTTAATAATTGTTATAATGAACTCTTTAATTTAAATGTTTAAGTTTCGTTTACATTCTTTCATTTTGTAGAATATTTTGCAACTTTATCTTTCATCGTACATTACATTTAATATACTTGCCCCTAATTCATTTGAACATACACATAAGATTGAAAATATTTGAAAATTTATATTGAAAAAAAACAAAAACAAGAAAAGTAATTGATTTTTTCAATTATCATACCAAACCCTTAAATGTTTACATGAGTGGATTTATATAAATATGCGTATTTTGAATGCGTAAAGATGTTCTAAAAATGTTTAATATAAATTTATTAACTTATTAAAATGTTTATATAACTAACATAAACGCTCTAAATATATTATATTTTCGATTTTAGGTGACTGAATAAGTACTATAATGTAAAGCTAAAGCAATCAAAAACAATTTTTTTATATATAAAATGTGTATAAAACATTTACTTAAAGGACTAATTACAAAACGTTATTTAAATTGTATATTTGTAATAAATAATGTATCTTAAAAAGAAATTTCTTTAAAAAAACAAGATGGTTAATATGTAAATTTGAGTTTGTTAGATTGAAAATAAAAGTAATATTTAAGTTAATTTCAAAGCTTTTAATGATAACATATTTAGCAACCATTTAAAATCATACGTATATTTGTAAAGTTTTCTTTGTATAGCACAATATTTTAAAGTTATTAAGTCATTAGTGTTACACAGTAAAGTTTCGTTATCCTGTATAGTCAGGATGATCGAATAATCCGTATCCGAGAATGATTTTGTCGATAAAATCGATCATTTTTTTCTCGGTAATTTATGGTTACAGATTTACATTTTCTTTGTTCTTCTAAAGAGAACTATTCTACACTTGGTCTCCCATGATTTTCAAACATATCCTATCCATATCGATGTCATTCAATTTTGTATATATTTATATATATGTATAATGCAATTGCTAACAAGATTTTACTTACAATTATGTACTTTTTTTTCGTATCAGTGGTACTCGGAAACGGTACTTGTTTTGCGATAAAACAATTTATTCCCAAAGTATAATACATGCTAGGTCGTAAGGATTTCAACAGCATCTCGTGAAAATACTTTACTCATATCTTCGTTTACTCTTAATGATAGGAATTATATTGTAATGATTGCTATCCACAATGCAAAAATGTAATGTATGTTTCCTAAAATGACTTGTGTTAATTAATGTATTATTTTACTCCTTTTCGTCTGATTATTTTATAACTGTACAATATGTTTCTAATCAGCATAAATAATGTAATAGTATGAAAATTGTTTTATCAGACGGAATCGACAATTACATTTTCCTCTTTATTATAATCTAATTAAAATGATACAGGTCATTGTGAATACTTATTAGCGGTACACTAACATCGACATTTGTTTTTTATTACATTCGTTGAAAAATTATATTAATATTAAATTAAAAAAATGTAAACAGTGCGGGTTGATCTCGTTTATGTACGTATTTGTAATCAGCATGTAATGTTCAACATAAATTTATTCAACATTCAATACTCAATACTTTGATCAACTAAAATTCATTTTTATTTATGTATTAACAAATATTACAGTTTTTAAGCAGATCCTAGAAATGAGTATGAATTAAAAGCAAAAAGTAAAAAAGAAATTGAAGAACTTACGACGTAGCCACATAAGATTATTATTTGGACTATACATTTTGTAAACATCAAATAGAATGTCATAATACGTGTCTTATTTTTCTTCTATATCCGAAGAACTTCCTTACATAATAAGTTTCAAAAATGTAGTTTTAAAGCTGGTGTAACTATTTCATAATAATTATAAATAATTTGTTGACAAATTAATCTTTTTATCTGTTTTCAGATATATTGTATTTGTATAATGCAATTGTTGATCCAAGAATCATTTGGATCTCTTTGAAAACTATAAATTTGGAGAGGGTAAACAATACTCTGCAAACGAAAACTTTAAAATTGTTATTAAACTAAAGCATCAACTATTATTTCCTAGAAGATAAATTACATGGATGATATAGAGTAATTAGTAAAAGTTAATATATGAATAAGGGTAAGGTAATGTACGTTTTAGATAATACAACTTACAGTATGAAAGGATTGTAAAAAGTTATATGAGAAATTCCTGCAAAAAGCAGATGTTTGAACTCTATTATTTGAATTTTATTCAAGGCACCACAAGAAAATTACTGAATTCTGCTTGTTTTTCTTAGTAGTTTGTGGCACTATCTAATCTGCAACGCCGCTTTTATAAACATAAGATATATTAAATAAGTACCGCTCTCATTTTGAAATCAACGTTCTTTGAAAACATGGTATGACGGTATCTTCTTTTTGGTTTAATAGCTTTTTGTTAATAAAATATAACGTTCATAAAATTCTGGTAACTAAAAGAAATGCAAGGCGACCAAATCAAATATATCTATATATGGGTGCGCGCAAGAATGCGAAACTAGTGCGATTATACATTCGTTTTTAAATACCAAAAGTGACAACATTATGATGATTATAACTTTATATACCTGATGTTCCATGGTTAAATACATACAATAATTGTAATTTACATAGTATAGTTTTATGTTCCATCACGTATGGGGTGCTTTGTTTTCATGTAAAGAAGCACTTTAGATGTTAATGAGCCGAGATGCCTACATCATACAAAAAAACTATCACCCTTTGCAGTCGATGCAGTATATTCGCAATTGCACAGTAGTATACAGATAAGAGATCGGAAGTAAATTTAACAGTCAATTACTCTTCTAGATCATCTTTTCAGTATTTCACACGAGAGCTACTCACAAATCTTGATTTTCCTTTTCTCATAGCGTTTCAACATACTACAATTAATTCTGTTCTTCTTTATCTTGACAATTATGTACGATCATTCGTTTCACGGTTTTATATGTTATAAACGCTATAAATTTATTTGGCACGAATGCGCCTCACGTAGGAAGAACTATGCAATTTTTTCATGCTGCATTTGACCACTCCTCTTTTTCTTTTTGCATATTACATTTCACTTTAAAGAAATATATTTATATATAAATATATATATATGTATATTGCATTATACACACCAAAAACTGTTTAATACAATTAATGAATTATATATTATTATAAGTAAAATAATAACGTGTCAAAAGATTTCTTTGTAATTCAACTTAATATCTCAAGATATAAGAATGTAGAAATTAATATGACTAATTAAAAAGAGTATAACGTTTTTTCTAACTAATTGTTGTAGCAGATTTATGTGGAAAAGAAATATTACCACCCTGTTAAACACAAAATCTTTAAAAATTGCTTAATCCTTCCACATTTTAAGATTAATTTTATATTTTACATTAACTCGTGTCATACCAGAATCATTTAGTTTCACCAAGAAAGAAAAAAAGAAAAAAATCGTCTTGTCTTGTGTCCTTTGTATCATTGTGTCAATGTCCTTATTTCACACCACCGTGTATCATATGGCGAAATGGTAGTTTGTCTAAAATGGTGCAGTTTTGCTTTTATCCTCTCATTTTCCTTGCGCAGTCCAATTTTTTAATTACTTCCAGTCCAGTAACTAGGACTATATCCAGGCTTTGCTTGGGCTTTGTTTTGGGAACTTGTATTGGACCTTTGGCCTGCACTGCTACCACCATCTTGATGAAGTGGCTGGTGCAGTTGATGAGGCATAGTTGGGATAAACAAATGTGGTGTTCCATATGCACCAGGCAAACCAGCATTTTGGCTCCCAGTCAGACTAAATGGCGGGGGAGTTGCTGAGTGAAAAGTTTGTTTATCGTAGGACTGAAATAACATTAAAGCGTTATTAACTTTCGCTGAAAATAATACATTTTTATGAAATTGGATTTATAGAAATACTTACATTCACTTTACTAAGCGCTACATGACTCTTAGCATACATAGTGGCGCTTATATCGGTTGCAGATGATCCACCAGTATTCGTATTTCCGGTAGATGTTCCTGTTTTACCAGTTTGTGTGGTGGTATAGCTGTTTCCCGCACCTTTATATTCGGCCGCAGGACCAGCAGATGCTAAAGCATCATAACTTGCTCCAGCTCCATATCCAGATCCATAACTTCCTGGTTTAGCACTATATGCACCACTGTTCGTACCCGCGTTACCAGCAGTCGCTATCTGCTATAGTAATTTTGATAAATGAAATACGAATGTTTTATTAGAATATATTAAAAAATAAATAAAGAATTAATTATATAAGTTGATTAACTTACAGGATAAATAGCAGGGGTTCCATATTGAAAGCCACCTGGCATTATTCCACCACCATATGCAAAGTATGCATATGTTGGAGGTAGTGTAGGATTCATCATTGGTTGTTGATGCTGT